GTAGAGAGAGAGAGAGAGAGAGAGGTCTTGTTGGTTTGGGGGAGAGAGTGCTGAAGCACAGAGAGAGAGAGGGAGGTGTAAATGGTTTCAGCAGTTGGTTTTGGACATAAGGTAGTATTGACTCCCATTTAGAGTTTAAAGAGAGAGGACACGCTGAACGAGAGAGCCCTCAGAGCAGAGGGCTGACATAGCATTAATGAACTCAAACTTTTATTGGAGAGAGCGGCTTTTCATCTGGCCATTGAAATAGGCCAACAAAATTGAGCCCGTTGGGTGCACCAATGAGCTATACGCGAGCAGGTTTTTCATAACATTTTCTATATATATATATGTAAATATGGAAAATCTTAAAGACACTAGGCGAAAATGATTAGTGTTTTATCCCGCCATGGATTTGCTATGTTCGTGGAGGTTTATTGAACAGACCCGCAATGGACGGTGCAATGTCTGTGGCGTTTCTACGTGAATTTTTGACCGCCACGGACCTAGAATGTCCATGGCAGTCATTTCATCCATGCCGTCCGATTTTTTCGAGCGGGTTCAATCATGGACATTCTAAGTTTATGGCGGTCATTTTATCCATGCTGTCCGATTTTTTTGAACGGTGATGAGCCAATAGGCGAAATCACTGTAGCATTTCGCCTATAGCGTTACGTAGTCTCCTCTTATATATATATATATTTAATTTTATCTCGAGGCATATGACTGCAAAAAAATGGATTTCAAGTTTTAAAAATAGTTCATCTAATATATTATATAGGTTGTCCATTTTCTAAAGTTCCATTTTCTAAAGTTTGAAGTGTTTATAGATCTGCTTGATTTGTATCATTTTTTAGGTTGAATTTCATAATTAAGGGCAAAAATATGTTTTCAGGCCATTGTAAGGATTTCTAACATTGTAAGGATTTCTAACACTGGAATTGCATCTTCCAACAAGTCGCATCCAATTATTAAAAAAAAAAAGTTCATTAACAAAGTTTGGTGTCTGATACTGTTTACCTATGTACTTTAGAGAGAGAGAGAGAGAGAGAGAGAGAGAGAGAGAGATTTTTATGAATCCCTTTTACATTTTGCTTGCATTTGTGTAGGTGGGAACTTCCGTTCCAGAGGTCGCGGCTATGGCAATCGATCACTAATTTCGGGATCTAATACAATTCCAATTGGTGGTAAACGGCCGTGGTAGGAATGGACTTAGCCTCTTGGCTTTGGGCTTTATTTTTTTGTTGCACCATCTTTCCATATGCCTGTTGCGGTTATCGATAGGTAGACTGATTGGAGATGGGTTGTGTTTTTCACCCACACATGCATTTGATTATTTTTTTTAATGAAAAATAACATGTTTTGAGTAGTATGATCTTATTTTCAAGTGACAATAGGGTCTTCTAGCCCTTGTACACATGCCTGATCTTTCTTCAGATATTATCTTGTATACTCAGCATAGTTTGTTGCCTTAATCGAGGTGCTTGTTTGCATAAAAATTATTACCCTACGTGCACAATTCTGTTGAAAGGATGTCTTTGATCTTTCTTTACACTAAAACATTTTGGTTTGTCCATTTCTTAGAAAGAGATGATGAGATGGAGTTGATTAGTAATTGTGTATCTATTATTGTTCAATTCTTATTTTTATTGGTATTTAGATTCCTTACTATTCTCTGTTTCTGCTATGTCCACCTCCTGGAAAATTTTATTATTCAGTAATATTGATCTGTTTCTCAAATGGAATGAATAGGAAGTTGGACATCTGCAGTAAACAAAAGTTTGGCTTAAGCGTTTCAAGTGAATTCATAATATTGGGTTATTATGAATAGCATTGCTGCAAAATATTCCGGATTAATCCTTAATAAATAAGCCCTGAATTGTATTGTGTCCATTCCTCTAAATTGAATTTGAAAGATGGTTCGAGGAGTGGTGTATTTTGAATGATTTTGACCATACTCTTAAAAGTCCTCCGTGTTCGTTCCCATTAGGTATTTGTGCACACCTGCCGTCCGCAATTCTTCTTTTATTCAATTATTATAATATGGATTGTCTATAGTTTATTATGATATTTGTAATATTTATTGGGAGATGTTTACATTGGACTGCCTATTTATACTGTAGAAGTAAGATGCACTTGTAAATTT